AATTCAAAGAAACCAACATGTGCATGTTAAAACGCAGAAATTGGAGTGGACCACAAAGTGATTCAAAGAGAAGTGGGGTAACTTAACCAAGGAAAAGATCCTGAAATGTGTATACAATAATCAAGAAAAACATCGCGAGGATATGGGATATTTATCGTCGACTAAGGTGGCCAGTACCTATATGATTTAATGATATGGAATATGTCGAACAGGAGTTTGGATGTGGAAAAAACACATACTGGTTGGTGGTTTGAACCCCTCTAAAAAATATTAGTCAGTTGAGATGATTATTCCCAATTTATGGAAAACAAAAAAAAATGTTCCAAACCACCAACCAGCATAACTTCGTGCTCCGTGTCAAGCACATTCAAGCATCTACAGTATTTGCGTGGGTCTGGCGAACTACCACAAAACTACAGCACATCCAGCTCTGACGGTCCAAGCCCAAAGTCGTGGTTATATCATATATATCATAATATTATATATAGGTTACATATATATATATGCATATACACATATGGATGTATATTAGGTTATATATAGTTATTTATGTGGGTTATATCTGGATTATAAACCAGGGATCCTAAGTAGGATGCACATCCTGTCGGCATCTTGGCGCCCCTCACCACAGGTACATCCCTTCCCACGAGCCAAAGCTTGGTTCCTTCAATGGGTCTTTTCTCCTGAGCAAATTTCCATGACCATCCAGAGAATGCAGAGGTTTTTCTTCAGGCATGCTATAGCATCATGAAAAAAAAATCATATTGTACCATCCAAAAAAAGAAAGAATAACATCATTTTACCATCATTTTACCATGAAAAAAAGCGTTTACCACTGATTTTTGAACATGTTCTTGTGAAGATGGATTTTCTTGGCGGAAACAAATGGGGAATGTTTGGGGAAGATGGGGCTGGGGTTTGTGGTGGATATTAAAAAAATGTTCGGTTCAGAAATCAAATTGTGACCGGAGAAATATGTGAAACCGAGGACCGAGAACAAATTTGGGATATACTGGGACCAGTGAATCGAGCAGTGTTCCAAATTCCTCTCTATCATTCCATCAAAAACTACTGCTATGGAATAGGCTATTATACTGATAATATTAATTGGGGATTTTCTAATCCAATAGGGGAATCCCCAAAAAAAACATAGTATGATTTTCATCCCCCCATTGGGGATGGTGTTTTTCTAGGGATTCCCCTGGTTTGGATTGGCTAATCCCCAATGAATATTGGGTAGGATTTTTCATCCCCAATATAATCATCAAGCAGCAGGAGTTTTTGAACACTGCTCAATTCTATAAAATTGAGGTCTCGTCCGGAAATAGTGGATTTGATTTTTACAAAACATATGGAAGATAAAAGCATTGATGAAAACTTACATATGGAAGATAAAAGCAACATAAACCAACTATCATGGGGAGTGTCACCAGCAATGTGACATCTGTTCCAACACATAAAGCGACGGAGTAATCGCTTCCAAAGTTTTTGTCAAGGTTGCCATCCAGGTCAAGGTTGGTGATTCTCCCTGAGAACATGTTTTTAACCATCTTCAAAATGGTTAGGATGTATATAATAGATAGATCTATATATATATATATTATATTATATATTATATATTATATATTATATATTATATATTATATATTATATTATATATATATATGTGTCTATCCATTATTTTCGATCTTTTGGGGAAGCCTCAGATACTTTTTTTTCGGATAAATGAACGGTATATCTGGTATATGTCCATGGAATCCGATGGGTGTCCGCCACTTCCACCGCAAAAAATGTCCTGGTAGTCCTGCACGATTCGACGATGCTGCGATGCTGGAGCAGGGTTGGGTTCCCAAAAATGGATACAAAGGCGGCCTCAAAGGAATAATATGGAATTTTATGGCATGATGTGAAAATGGATACCATAAATGATGGATTAGATTTCTATACCCAATTTTTTCAAATGTGGTTTTGAGTTTCCATCTTCAGTTTTGAGTCATGCTCATATCTCTCGACTCAGTGAGGTGAAGTTCGGCAGATTTCGGCAGAAAAACCCGGGACCCAGGGACCATCGGCTTGCCATAGATGACCCCACTGATTTCCCCACCACACTGGCCCAATGGATGATGGGATTGGGAGTTTTACCCCGGTGAAGTTTGACATAAATGACCAACCTATGCTTGGCCCAATCGAGGCCTCATTTTCAGCCCGTTCTGGTAAAGCCAATTATTGAATTGGGCCCCCTACTACTTATAGATGGGGCCTGTAGATCTATGTATATAGGCTATACAGGTACATGTGCATTGTCGTTTAAAGCCTCAATTTACATGTGGTAAAGGGCCATATGTTCAGTTACTGAAAAACCTCAGTTGATGGTTGATGGGGACCACCGTTGACCCCAGTTTTGTTGTTCTTGGACCTGATGCATCGCCTACCAAGATATTTTTACTGCTTGTCTTATCCATTGATTCGGTTCCCAAAAAAGACAAATTGATAGCTGATCAGCAAGCATAGCTAGTCCCAGAAATTGATGGAACTGGTCTAAGGGCACAGGAAACCTCCATATTTGATGTTTTTTCATGGTGAAAACAACAGTTTCCACCTAGCGATTTTCACCATATGTGACCATCCCAAACACAAGGCCGGACCTATACACATGGCTTTGTCTGAGAAGGTATACTCCCAAATAACCACTTTCACAGGGAAAATGATTCCAATCATTCCAATCCATTGGACTTGCGGGTTTTCCATGGTTTTCCCATACTTTTCAGACAAAGCCATATGGCAATAACAATCTTAAGCGCTGGTTTCGAGGCATTTTCAACCATAGATCAACCATAGATCATCCCCTTGTGCCGATTCTCCGAATCACCCGCCTGGAATTCCAGGAGGTCTCAGGCGAACCAGGAGAAGTGAAGCCATATTTTTGTGCCAACAAAATAAAGATTGCAATATACTATGATGATCTATATTTATGGGTTATTTCATGGGAATTAAATGGATGTCATGGGATTTACCATCTGTTTTTTTAACATAGCCATGGAAAATCCCCATTTTAAACATCTATTCCTATGGGCCATCTATACCATGGCTATGTTAGTCATAACCAGAGGGTAATTATTAAGGGTCCCACATCAATCCATTGACCGTCTGTCCTTGGGCATCACTGACCGCCCCAGCGCAGGCGGCGGCGCAAGCCACTCGGAACGTAGCAGCTGAAACGGCCACGGAAACGGCTGGAACTTCCGCTGGGATTCAAGCAACAACAAGCGGTATATCTAACCTACGACTATGATACTTATATATATATAATTGATATCTGTATGTGTATAGATACTTACATTGCATTACATTGCATTGCATAACATTACCGTACATAACATTATACATATCACAGAACATAATATAATATATATATACATACTATATTAATTGTATACATATATATATATATATATTGGGTACAACGTGTTTCACCGCCCCCACCTAGTGTTTTCAAGTATTCTATATGTGCACGTTTCAGAGATGTTGTGCACATGTCAGAGATGTTGTGCACGTGTCACAAATTTGTGCACGTTTCACAAGCCCCCTAATAACGTTCGTGTTCAACTGTATCCACACTGAGCGCATTCTAATCAGCAAAAGCATTGGGGCGATCAAACACGTTCTCCCGTATTAATTATATAATATGTATTATATAATTAAATTATATATAATATTATGTATACTATATCTATACATATATTATATAATACATACAGAGGGAGAGAGAGACACACACAATCATAGACATGCTGCAAAGATTATAACCCGACTAAAAATATGGGAAACTATTCACCAATCAAAATTAAACAAGCGACTGGTTTCAGAGATACAAGCGACTTGGACGGGGAGATGGCTCGAACTTCCAAGGAGTACCTTCTTTTGATCGGTTGCGAAAAGAGAGATGGTGCTTAAAGTCAGGTGGACAGTGACCAAAATTCTTCACACACCCCAAAGTGGATGATTGAATACCAAAAAAAGGTCAATTGCGTGGGTCCACTTAAATGGATAATTGCATCGTTTTTGATCCATACCCGCAGTGTTTCTTGCCATTGGCCCGGGGACACCAAAAAAAGCTTCTTGTCTCTAGAGCCACGCAACGAATATGTTTTCTCCTGCGTTTATATCCATAGGATAGCCATGGCATATAAATGTCAAATCAGTTCATATGTGTATATAATGTATATGATATATATATATATGTATATATATATGAACATTTTTGTATGACCGGACACATCCATGAAATCTTTCTGTACTCCCAACACAAGAGGAACCTAAGTGATGTTCATTTGCACCTCAAAGCCCACGGGCATGTTTTCCTCAAACTCTGTTGGCACCATAAGCTGCAGGCCACGCCGGCCTTTTTCCCAATGTGATTTACATCAGTGATACTAAAAATGATCCAAATGAAGGTGAATATACCTCGTTATCCATAGTATCATAGTACTATAACTATTATCGTAGATTAGTATATATTATCTAATTGGTGGTATACCTACCCCCCTGAAAGTAATATGAAAGTCAGTTGCAATGATGACATTCCCAATATGATGGGAAATTCATAAAATTCCATGGTTCCAGTCACCACCAACCAGTTATTGGTGTATGTCATCCTTTTAATGGGATATGATCCCTTTCATGGGATATGATCCCTTTCATGGGATATTTCTTCATAGTTTTGACTCATCGAATGATCGCCTCAAGGAATCCATCGTCAATTTTTAGGGACCATCCGGCAGAGTTTTCTGTTCGCATAACCAACACGTAACTTCTTGGCATGGTTGATAAGGATTCAAATTCATAAATGTCAACTTGTCAACTGAACTATGCTGAAATGTAGATGAACTTATGGCTGATAATGTTGATAAATTTACTAAAATATACTAAATTAATGGTTGATAATGCTTTATTGGCATAAGTGTCAATGATCGGTAGACCAACTGATATTAACTGAAACTGAAATGACATTTTTTTAGCATTTTTTCAAAGCGATCAACGAATAGGGGCGGTCACAACTGGATCACTTGCCTTTCTCTTGGCCTTGGCGAAGATCGTCCCATGTTATTCACCAGCTTGCAAGTAGTAGGGCTAGTTTAGTGGGGTCAATAGGGATTCATAGGGGTTAATAGTGGGGTATACTTCATATGATTCTCCAAGTCACCAACGTTAGGGAAGTTCTCTTAGTTTCCAAACACTTGAAGACAGCTCAATCACCTTCTGGGGTGTTTGGCGGTTGAAAATCATGCCTTAACGGCCTTGAAACCATTTCTGGGAGAAAACGGATGAATGCGCTGTAAAAAAAAAGACATGAGATGATATGAGTATATCACTGGTTGGTGGTTGACTAATCCCTCTGAAAAATGATGGAGTTCGTCAGTTGGGATGATGTTACTATTCCCAATATGATGGGAAACATAAAATTAATGTTCCAAACCACCAACCAGATCAGGTATATTCAGCAATGTATCATCGTTTTCACAGCATTACACTTGCAATTTTATCCATTTTTGGTATCCCCCAGCTGCCAACTTCCCAGTCACCGCCAGGCCCAATCAGAGATTCAATATTTGGTCAGAGGCATGCCTCAAGGCATCATTGATCTTGAAGTACTTCCTCATCCAGATACTTTGTGAAGCTAATGTCAACCCTGGATTAATAAACCCCGTTTACGGCTGTTTAATTGGGGGAGGGTAGCGTTTAAGCAAAAATTTAAGTATCACATTATGACTATTTGGGTTTAAGTATAACATTATGACTATTTGGGTTTAAGTATCACATTCTGACTATTTGGGGAGTACCCTAACAAATTAAGAAACATTAACACACCATGGATTCTTCATCCGGGATTGACATTAGCCTGAGATGGTCCCATTCACCATCATGCCGCTGGTCAAAAAACATGTTGGGACCTCCATTTTTTCGCGTTCCACTATTTCTATCAATATACCCTCTGGTAAATTAACATAGACCCTGGCAGATAGGGGTTGGAAGACTAGTTTCCATTAAAAATTGGCTATTTTCAGGGTCTATGTTTATTTACCAGAGGGTATTTCTTATTTGGAGGTTTCCTAAAATCCAACATTTTGTTCATCATTCATTTGAAAAATTGCTAGTTTCCATTAAAAAAAAAAACATCCAGCGATTGGGTCCCATGCTACGGGAAACTCTAACCCTTATTAATACCATCCAGCTATTGTTATACCATCCATCCATTGATATCATTTACCATTAGTAATCAATTTTTCTCTAGTAATCACCCACTATTTATATAATCCAGCAAAAAAAAAACATCTTCGAGGCACTGGAAGATCATGGTTTTCAGTGCTAGTTTCTAGCCCTTATCTTCCAGTGATGCCTCGAAGTTTCTACCTGTTCCAGGCCACTGGGAAGTTCACCGACCTAGGGCGTCCTACCAGTGCTGTCTTGCACCAAGTTGGGTTCTGTACACTACCCGGATTTTCTTGCTTGGTAACTATATGTTTAGTTGATGTTCAAGAAACTGCTTGGTGGTTGAGCCCTACCCTAATGGTTAATATACTGTTAATGGTTAATATATGGTTAACGATTGTTAATAACATGTTCTGGTTGGTGGTTGAGGCACCAACCCCCCTGAAAAATGATGGAGTTAGTGAAAGTCAGCCAAGGGATATGTTGGGATGATTTTTTTCTATTCCCAACTGTTTCTGGAAAGTCACAAAATTCCATGGTTCCCGTCACCAGCAACCACTTTGGAATATGTGAAAAACCCAACGAGTTTTACCCCAGTTTGATCTCGAGTCTCCAGCATCCAAAAACACATCACAAAAACATCAAAAAGAAGCAGATAAGTTGTGTTTAGTCTGATCAATGGGAATTCCAGGATCCTAAAATGGAGGTACTGTACCATATAAGACCATATTTTATGGGGATATTCCCTTACATAGGCCTTACATAGGCCTTATATTTGGTAGGTACCTCCAATTTAGGATCCTGAAATGGCCATTGATCTGATGTGGTAAAATCATGTAAAATCAGTGAGTACTGTAACCATACCTCTTATCTCTGGAAAACTCTGAAAACATCATCTTATATTTCTTTTGGGGCGGGTTTGATTCTGAAAACAGCTATGATTTTGGGCCTTACCATGGCACGCCGCACCGCCAATCGTCCCAGGTGCACAACGGGCAATGTCACAGATAGTTGCAGATTTTCCGTGGCCGGACAGCAAACACTTCACAGCCCCAAGCAGCTGCAACGAGAGCTTCTGAGGCAGTGGGAGCTCCTGCACATCATTGCACATCCGATTCTCACCAAAGTTACCCTCTTCGGTGAATTAACATAGAATTAACATAGATTCTATGACATAGATATGCAAAACAATGGAAAACTCCAGACATTTATTATAGATCGTTTACCTTGGGAAACCATGGGGTTTTCCAGAAATCTTTGTCAATCCACTGCAGAGTTCAGCCCCTGGAAATTGTGGAAACGTGTATACGAGCACCTTTGGGAGAAATTATGGGGAATATACCCGTTTATACTGTAATATACTGTATTTTGTCCACAACCTTGCATTTCAATGGGAGACTAGCAACCAGCTTGATTTTGCCATAGAATTCTGGCTAAGTAGATATCTTACTAGCTGGAAGATGAGGTTGGTCATTGGGCCAACAAATTGGGCTGAAAACAGAGCAAAGAACAGAAAGCGAAATGGTTAGAAAATCCACAGGAATAAATGTCAAAACTAACAGGCATAGCAATATGAAGAACCGTGTAGCGCCAAAAAAAACACCAGCTGTGTTTGTTTTGTTGAGACACACTAATGAATCGACCCCTGACCCCATATGACCCCATTCGATTTCGAGTGGTGTTTCACCAAAACACCATCTGGTGCTCGACAGCATCGAGCTGCACGAAGACCCCATCGGGCCCCGACCTTCGATTCTGCGAGCGAATCTTCGTGCTCCGCAGACATCTTCGCCACATCGGCAAAAGACACATTTTCAGCTCCGGCCAGAACCTGACACAAAAAAAACGAGACACGGTGAAGCAAGGGGTTGGTTTAAGGATGTTTAAGGTACAAGTGGAAATGTAGGAAGTCATGGTTTGTACAAGGTGGTGCCCCCCTAGTTATAAACTGGTTTATAAACCCCATTAACTATAGATATATCACCTATAAACCATAGTTATTGGAATTATAAACCAACTTAGCTATCTAGGGGGCACCACCTTGTACCATCAATCATTTGGTGCTGAAAATTGTTCCTTCTAATGGTGAACCAATGCCCCACCGAGCGACAGTATGAGGGTAAAATTTGCCTTGAATAAGAATATATATATATGTGCGACTTTGATTGAACATGGAACTCTCTAAATTCCCAATTCTCATAGATTGTCATATGGATTCCAACTTTAAATATATTATAATATCACATTAATATCACATATTAATAATATACAGTAATTATAATATATAATATATATATAATATACAAGTACATACATTCTATCATATGGAGTTTTTCTAAAAAATGGGTGGTTCCCCGAAATCATCCAATATTAGACCATGACTGAGTTTTGAAACAACCATCGTGGTTCGGGGATCCACCAATGGATCCACAGACTTCCGTCTCAACACAGTACGGCAAAGCCCTTACAGTAAATCAAGGTAAATCATATACGGCATATTCATCTCTGATATATCCCCACTACTAAAATCTACTAAATCAATGTAAATCCTTATATGATATACCCCAACTACTTCTTGAGAAGCTACGGCCCATTCAAACCGACCATCTCCGACCTGCCCAAGGGAGTCGCAGTACTTCTGGGACGCGAGTTCCACAAAGCTATAGTTGCTGGCTGCTTGATCCACTGGCAAATCCTGGGTCGTTTGGAGTGACCGAAGTTCGATGACTTTTTCCAATGTTGATCCGAAATAGGTGGTGGGTCTCATTCTATCTCACAAATAGGAAATATCTGCAATGGGTGGAAAACCTACCAAATAGAATCCAAATAGTTGATGTATGTTGATGTCTTAAACAGCAGGTTGCTAATGGTTGCTATACATAGAATCAGTCATGGGAAGTGGTGAGCTCCTGCTGCATTCTGTTGACATCGACCCTGCGTGATTTTTTTCAGCGTTGAGATGTCGTCTGGACATCAGATAAACCGAAGAGATCTTGTTTGGATAATGTTTGGATTAGAATATATTTGGATTCTGTTTGGATTATGTTTGGATTATAACCTAGGAGTTTTTCGATATGCTTGGATTATATTCCTCCAAAGAGATCCAAAGAGTAGGTTCTGATATTGATACACACGGCATCACATTCACACTTCCGATCTCCGGTATATGTGCCACCATTTACCAAAGAAAAGGCCGAATGTTTGTAAACCCTAATTCCCCTGCTGAGAACATATGGACTCTAGACTTACACCAAACCATACTGGCGAATGACTTCAGAAAAACGGGTTGAGCAGTGGCAGTTCATCAATGGAAATAACATAGAGATTGGTGGATCTTGATTCACAGCACCAAGCTTGCAACATATTCTCGTAACCGGTAGTACTTTTTTCACGAACAACCACCGTTCGTATTCTGGGCTGTGATGAATTGGGGAACTATCGGTTAGCTGATGTTAGCTGTACCTTTTCAGGTGTTTGGATCATTTTGGATCCATTGATTCATAGAATTGGATGATGGGAAAATTTACAGGAAAGCCCTATATTTGATGGTAAAAACCATGGTTTCCGGTTAAGATTTTCCCTTAAACCAATCCATTGAATTGATGGTTACCCAACCTGGTGATGACTAACAGTTCGCCATGGAAAAAAAAACCGCCGAGGTCAAAACCGTCTTTCCCTTTACGGGAAAGGCTGAGCGATGCCGAGACTCATACCATCCATTTACAGAACAGTACCTGATAAAGGCGACAGCATGACAGAAATGCCTTCTGAATCTTCTGAGAACATCAAGCTTAGTGACAGATTAGAAGGATTAGTGACAAATAGATAGTGAATTTAGTGAACATTTGGTATTTAGAACAAAATAATATTTAGAACATCAAGCTTTAGGGAATTGAGTGACAAATTAATGACAAAATACCGAAGCGTGCATCAAAAATACACCGTGAACATTGATTTTGACATTTCCCGTTCTACCTGTTTTGGAGTGTAGGGAAGGCTCTCAACAAAATCCTCACAAAAAAACCTAACATCCGATGAGCCGATGTGGTGTCAACAACTAGTTGTCTGTTTTGAAAGAAAGCACCACAGCACCACTGTATGTTGAATCACACGCAGCGTGAGCACTGCTTTGAACAAATACAAAATCAACAGGCCAGGTATCCTTCAACAAATAGGGCTGTTTTTGTTTCATGTGACATGCGCCAGCCACAAACATGACACGCGCCACAAAGATCTGAAAGGGATGCTACATGATGCTACCCTCTGGTAACCTAACATAACTCTGGAACATCTCCATTTTTCATGGGTAAATCCACTATTTCTATGGCCATTTTCAGTAGCAAACTGACAAGCCCAGGCAATGTTGGCTCCAGGGGGCCACGGAGCCTATAGCATGTGCATTCACGAAACATACACCCAACAATTACGGATTGATAGAATCGATTTTAGGGGTTAAAACATGGGAGTGTTCTTTGTCAAATTTCATCAGAATTGATTGTTGTGTTGGAGTGTCAAGACATACACTGGTGTATTATCATACTTCATGTATCCTCAGTTTTGTTGTTTGGGTGAGTAATTTTCCAATGATCTTCCCTTATGTTCTGATTCAAAACAGTCACGTTCCTACATTTTCCCGTTCAAACATGTTCAAACCGTTGACATTCCACATTTTCTCGGTAAAACCCTGGATTTTCATTCATTTCCCAATATTTCCCATGAAATTGACGTGTTCCCAAGCGTTTTCCCATGCGCAAAAAGGTACGAGTCCTCCAGCGGAGCACTGCTCTGAAGTCCTTCGAGGCTCTGAAGGCGTCGAGCGACAGCACAGCTGGAGAAGATGTGGCCCATGAGGCCGTAAGTGCCTGGGATATGCTGAGGAAATATGGATTAATATGGGATGAACTTAAATATGTTTCTATAATTTTCTATATGTAAGTGCCTGTTTATAATCCGTATAGACTCATTTTTTGAGGGGTAAGGAAATATGCGGAGGTTTCCTAAGTCATGGGGGTAATTACCCCTAAATCATCCAATCTGTTTTCGGATTTTCAACAATAAACCAACCATTTGGGGTACCCCTATTTTTGAAAACCCCTATGTGGTTCAACAGAGGAAATGATGGGAAATATGGGAATATCTGGGATGAATACATATATATATATGTGTGTATGTTAGGATGTCACTCTAACACATTTTCTTTATCCATTGTTGCTCCCTTAATTTTCCATTATTGTTCCCTTAGCTGTTCCCTTAACTTTCCATTATTGTTCCCTAAACTTTCAATTACTGTTCCCTTAACTTTCCAGTATTGTTCCCTTAACTTTCTATTATTGTTCCCTTAACTTTTCATTATTGTTCCCTCAACTGTTCCCTTCACTTTCCATTATTGTTCCTGTATGTTTGCATTATTGTATATTATTGTTACCTTGTTATTTTCGTAAAAGAGCTACAATTGTTACCTTATTGTTGCCTTGCAAAATCTTTACAGTATTGTTACCTAAAAAACCTAAATTGTTAAAAATAGTGGAAGTTTTGCAACAAAGGGAACAATAATGCAGAAAATGGAGAAAGTTAAGGGAACAATAATGCAGAACATGGAGAAAGTTAAGGGAACAGTAATGCAGAAAATGGAGGCAAACATAAGCTCTAAAGAGACCCATCAAAAACGTGCTATAGGGACATGCTACTATATATGTGAGTGCCTATTTATAATCCATATAGAAATCATATATAATTACTACCCTTTTAAGATAGGGGGGACGTACCCTAAATGTAATGTAATGTAAGCTACATGTTAGACGTATTTAAGGGAGGGGGATGTAAAAAATGTTAACTTTCATTTATGATTGAACGTACGTTCTAAAAACCTTTCATTTTAGTAGGTCCCCACCCTGTTCCCGCAATGTCCTAAAAAACCTAGGGGGACGTTCAAAATGTAAGCTTGCATTAAAAAAAAAAGAGTCAGAAGGTAAAAAAAAAGTAAAATGATAGTCTAAGGTCTGCAAATAGCTGCAGAATTGCAAAAGATAAAAAATGTGTAAAAATGGAAACTGAAAGTTTGTAGGACCCCGAATTGCTTTGTATTTCCAATACATTCTACACTTTTTCTACACTTGTTTGATCATTTCCACATGTAACATAGAGGTACAGGAGGTATATCATTCCTTGCAAATTACTGGAAAATCCTTGAACTTCAAAAAATGTAAAATGAGATGTTGAAGGTCTTATTTACCTCCTACCTATGGGAAAACAATGGAATGCAGGTGTAACTAAGACTGTAGCCATCTTACAACTGAGGTCCATAGTTCTTTGCAGAGCATGCTCAAAATAGAGGGTAAAACTAAAGATCAAAATCATGTAACCATCCTACACCTGAGGTCCGTAATTCCTTGCAGAACATGCTCAAAATAGAAGGTAAAACTAAAGACAAAAATCATGTAACCATCCTACACCTGAGGTCCGTAATTCCTTGCAGAACATGCTCAAAATAGAAGGTAAAACTAAAGACAAAAATCATGTAACCATCCTACACATCATGTATATATATATATATAGTATGTATATATATATATAATCCCGAGAAAGAGACCAGGAATGTGGGAGGTGGCAAGCAGCATATGTATGCATGGTCCGAAACTGGTGCGTGTTACCAGATGTCGATGCTCAGTCAGCGCTGGTGTAGTTCCCCCAGCTATATCGATCATGGAGACTTGTAGAGTTGTCGCCCCATTTCAAGTTTCGGGAATGCATGCCTGAATATCTGGAACCTTATAACATCTTATAACCTTCAACCATTGAATTGGACTACACTTGGAAAGATGAATGCATGATTTGTTTCTATGTAAGATTCACTAGCCATGAAAACTTCTGCGTAGAAGTTTTAAGCCTGAAACAAATGATACACACATATACAAAAGTTACCCTCTGGTAATTTAACAGTTTGCTATTGAAAATGGCCCATTTATAGAGGAATTTCCCACTAAACATGGTGATTTTCCATAGTTATGTAAACGTTTACCAGAGGGTAGTTGGAAACCTGGAAATTGGCAATTTCAGTATCAATCAATCAACTGGGCCTTCATCCAATCTTGGGCCAAGTTTTTGGAGGCGTCCAAAATTCTCAGACCCAAATGGAGGGAAACTCAAAACGAAACTCACTCGACTTTCTGTGAAAATAGGTTACCCCGGTTACCCCAAAATCATCCAAAATCCAACATTATAAATGTACTAGTATAGTTTTCATAGAGTTTTCACACATGGAGGTTTCCTAAAATAGGAGATTCATGGAGATTCCCAGTTCACCATAGGTGAATTAAGTCCCTAGTCATGGTTGACTTGGATGATGGAAGGGGGTACCCCCAGGACTCTGCAGATACTTTTCGATACCCCCACCTTCTGGAAGCTCAGAAATGAAAACGGCCTTAGCCTTAAATATCCCTGGGATCGAGGTGCACCATCCATCATTCTCAGGATGTTCCTGCACTACCTGTCTGATAGGTTTGCGATAAGTTTCCCAGGTCATGGACTGCAAGCAGACCTGAGGTGAGGGGCCGGAGGATGCCAAACTGGAAATGGGTGAAAGTTTTGTCCTGTTGATTCTTGTTGAACAAACATAGGAAAAACACCAGAAAAAAAACATCGAAAAACATATACCCTCTGGTAAATTAACATAGACCCTGAACATAGCCTAGTTTTAATGGACACTAATCTTCCAACCCCTATCTGCCAGGGTCTATGTTAATTTACCAGAGGGTATCTTGAACAACACAATTAACAAATTATCCCACTTACTGCAGTATGCCTCAAAAAAATACCATACCCAGGCACTCCTTGCGCAGCACTTTTGGCTTGTCCATCCAAATGGTGGTGTGTTTCCAGTTTCATCTGCATGAAGGACATGCATTGCTCATCTTCACAGCTCTCGGAGCTGGAACCCGAAACCAGCAATCCCAATGCCACCAGAAACACCCGGTACAACAGCACCATGGCGGTGCCAAGGGTTGATAGGAAAATGGAGATAAGTTCAGCTCTGGTGGCTTTTCAGAGCTGAGAAATGTCCGCGGAAGTTGAAGTTCCTGGCATTTTCTCTACAACCATGTACTGTATGAAATGAAGAATGGAAATAACAGATAGATACAACCACTTACTCTACAACCACCTACTCTACTGCCTATCTTGTTTCCCACAACCACTTGCTCTGCAACCACTTTCCTAACCACTTGCTCTGCAACCACTTTCCTGGTTCAGAAATTCAAGAATTGAACAAAATGAAGACACAAAAAGCATCCCCAAAATTCCTATGCCTAGATCAAGCAAGTATGCAGTCGCCATCCTGAAAATCCTAAGTATCCAGCATCTCCCCCAAAATCACCTCACTTCGGAACTGCCTAGTACTGGAGTTACGAGCTAACAAATACACTATCGGATACAAGATAATGAGACAGGTTTTTCCGCTTTTTGAGAATTGACTAACTGACTAACCAGAGTCATTAAATGTCATTAACCACCATTAACCACCATTGACCACCATTAATGATGATCCTGCAAGTGCTCAGTGAGTAGCCGCCGTTTATGCGGCCGTCGTTTTTTCAGAGGCTCACTGCGGGATCCACTCGGCAGTAGGCTCAGGCTGTACATAGGCAAACTCCTGAGTTACTTCGGGCTTTTCATGGGGATTTCATGGGGATCTACCGTTTGGTTATTTAACATAGCCATGGTTTTTCGATGGCCCATAGAAATAGATGGTTTACCTATTAAAAATGGTGATTTTCCATGGCTCTGTTAAATAACCAGAAGGTAATAGGATTTTATAAGAATATCATGGGATACACTTCCCTTCTTGCCCAGTCTGAGCAAAGCATGAACATCTACTGCCTAAAAAGGTTGTCAGCTTGAAATACACAAAAATCTTAAGCTAAACTATGCTAAACTTCCGTAATACCAGAAGCAATATCATTGGATCCTTGTCCAACATTTCTGGGTAATCCTATGCCATTTTTATTGGACTATGCCAACTATTGGATTATCCGCATTGTCTCAGACTGTTGTATAACAAAATCATTGGATCCTTGTCTCAGACTTCACCCAGGATTCGATTTTGTTGGCAGGCGCGGTGAGTTAACCATCTCAGGCCAGATCGGATTCAAGTTCAGATTTTCCCTCCAAAAACATATCATCACAGAAAATGAACACAATATTATATAATATATTATTGAACACAATATTGATACGCTAGAAAACAAATACTATACAATATGATATATATATATAATAAGAAGAAGAATGATAATAAAAATATAATAATAATAATAATAATATACAATATATATATAATTATCATGTGTATATATATATATATATACATACTGTAACATGATGGCATGCTCCACAGATCGGCAGGGTTCCTCCAAGTAGGATGGCACGTGAGGGTCGCAGCTCTCCTCGTTCTGTCAATGAGGCCCCGTTTGTCACCCCACAAAATGAATGGATATTGTCCAATATCATGGTGGGATATAATGTGATTATATGTGATTATATATGATTATATGTGAGTATATATATATATACATGTATATATATATATATATATCTATTATATTCCCCAATAATACTGGCTATAAATAATATGTGATTATATATGTATGGATCAAAATCTGGTAGCCCAATAATTGGATGGTCAATACTAAAAATTGAACCCCAAAGTCTGTGGTCCCGCAGATCTTTAATTTTGACCCGCTGAAATTTGGCTGGTTGATGTTGTTTTCAGTATTAAATATTATATATATACATATATATATATAGAATTATATATATATATTATCCATATTTACAGTATATAATTATATCTCATTTGATACAACGACCATGAACTATCTAATTTGGGGTGCCAGAATCTTGAGCCATTAATACATAATAAATCATATGTGTTCAAAGCAAATGTTCCCTTTCACAGCAACATTCGCCAGCGCTGGCTGAGGAGTCTGAAAAAAAAATATCCGTTCATATTTCCGAGCACATAACATGTACCCTCTGGTAAATAAACATAGACCCTGAAAATCACCAATTTTTAGAGGAAACTAGTCTTCCAACCCCGAAAATAGCCAGGGTCAAACTGTAAATTTACCAGAGGGTATAAACATCAGTTAGTTAAAGTGAATGGTTTATAAACAAACTTATAACTGGGGGGGCCCATAACATAGATAACATCATCTTCTGCCTGAGTTTGGAGTGTCGGATCCAAGCCATCCCCCTTTTGGACCACATGTTCTAGTCACTAGTCATGATGGCAGGCAAAAGAGGTATTGGCTAAGGTTCCGGATTCAGATCCACTGGATAAATATCAAAAAAAACATGATAAACATGTTATGATCATGTTATGATGGCTTCTGATAGATCCACTTAAGGATAGATAAACATGTGGCCTTGTCTAATCTTTGAGTCTATCCCATGCAATTTTTGAAAATGAGACTTAGACGGCATCGAATTCTAAAGAACCGTCGCAACACCCAAACGAGATCAAGTGAGTTTGTCCAGAAATACCCTCTGGTAATTTAACATAGCTATTGAAAATGACCATTTATAGTGGATTTTCCCATTACAAAGTGTGATTTTCCATAGTTATGTTAGTTTGTCCAGAAATACATGGGAGTTGAATGGGAGTTGAGCCATCTATCCCCCATTTTTTCTTGACATAGATGGCTCAACTCAAGATTCAGAGCCATCGAATCTTTGACATCATGGGGTATACCGGACACCCATTACCCTCTGGTAATTTAACATAGCTATTGAACATGGCCGTTTTTAATGGGAAAACTCACTATAAATGGTCATTTTCAATAGCTATGTTAGTTTACCAGAGGGTAGCATTCTGGGGAAAGTGATGATGAACCGATGAACCACACTTTCGCGCTTTTTCTTCGGAAGCCATCCCGTGGACCATGTTCTCATCACAGCCACATATCCTCAATAATTAAGTCCTAAGATGTAAATATGAAGTATGACCCATAATCCAATAATGTCCTTTTGGTGGAGCTGGTCAATCCCATCTATCATCATAGAAACCTGTTGTGTTTCAGGGGTTTCTGAAGAAACCCCTCTATTAATCAACCAACCAATGGGAAAAGGACATCTCTGCCATAATCATCCCCAATATACAAACATCCCCATAATCATCTTCAGCATTCTTCAGCTATATATAGCATAATGGCATAGTAGTTTCCCAGCCCCAAAAAAAATGACCAATCCAGAGACGTCTCAAAGGGCCTCACAGGAGTAGATGCAAATCGTCCCAAAGTCCAACCTTTCCTGCAAAGGTCCTGGAAGGCTGGCAAAAATGCCGAGGATGCTTGAGATTTCCTACGGCTTTCAGCAACTTAAAGCAACAAGAACATGGCAAGTCGAAGCAGTTTTAGCATGTTTTAACCATGAAAATTTGCATTAAACCAAGAACAATGGTGGCATAACGGGGATATAATGGGAATATCATCTGGAATATCCGTAACATTACCCTCCGGTGTCATCAAACATGGCTAGCTAGGAAATCCTCGAAGTAAACAAATTCTAAAAGGGAAAACATTCCATAAATGGGGAATGTTGTGTTGAAATACCAGAGGGTACTGCAATGTAATTGTGTATTATTCTATTATATCATATTATATTGTATCAATCTGCAACTACATGTAATTACAGTTTGCAACAGGAGTGCGAAAAGTACGTTCGAAGAATAAATTTGCATGTTCAATCATGTTCATCTTCAGGCCAGAAATGTATCAGGAACCCCTATTTGTTTGCCAGCAAAATTGGTGCCATTTGCTCGGCTTGCCTGTGTGAACCGCTCGAATGAAGTGATACCATCGAACCAGCTGAAATCATATTCCCATTATTTTTCCTCATCCCAATGATTCCAATGATTTGTCAGGCCCAGAACTGGGCTTTTGAGCTACCCTCTGGTAATGACTAACGTAGCTATTGAAAATGGTCCAGTCGAAATAGTTAAGATTTACCCATGAATAATGCTGGATCTTTCCATGGCGAACTGTAAACGTTTACCAGAGGCTACCCTTTTAGTACCATAGAATTACCTTCGTTGATTTTCAGACAAATGATCGATATTCCACCCCATTGGACCCACGTCCTTTCAGCTGAGCGATCAACATGGGCTGCACCTGGCGGAGGTGCAAAATCTGGCCAAAAAAAACGGCCGCTGGGTTGGTTAAGAAACTAGTGGTGAACACTATGGTGGACTAGGGGAACTACCCTCTGGTAATTTAACATAATCATTGAAAATGGCCCAGTCGAAATAGTGAGTTTTCCCATTAATAGCATGGTGGATCTTTCCAGTTCGTTATGTAAACGTTTACCAGAGGGAATATATATATATATGCATATATTCACAGTTTTTCATTTCACCAGATTCTATTGATGTTTGATGATCTTTGTGGAGGAATTTCTAGACCTCCCACATGGGTCCCCTCGGAGTCAGAGATGACCTGGGAATCACAAAAGACCGACGCCTCAACGGGATGAACGAACGGTTCTTCGTTATGTGTTTGAATTTTTCATCAAAGCCTTGAGTTAATTCAGAAATATCATCGTCCAATTCCAATTCCTTATTTTTATCATATTTTCTCCAAATTTCATATGGCATCAACCATGAAGCTTGATCATATATGTATATATGATATGCATCAAGCATTGTCCATAATTCTGAAATTCCATCGGTTCATGCATCTTCCATATCTTATTTGAAACATCCAAAGTGGTTCACCATTCTGTAGCTCCCTCATGTTTCATCCAGGGCAGCCCATATTTTTAGATCTGAAACACGCGCGGAACAAGGTCCACCTGGCACTCGAAAACTCGAGGTCCACCACAGTGAGGGCACTTCGGCACATCTTCCAACTGCCGAAATTGGCAAAACCTGCCACGAAGATGCCGATGAAATGATGAAATGGTCATTTCAGTATCCAATTTATGGAGGTACGTTAGTACCATATTTCTGGCCATATGAATTGTGGGGATATTCCCTGAAGCAAAGGCCTGAAAAATA